TTTTTTGACAGACAATCTTACATATGAGATCACACTATAGACAGGCAATCTCATCTTATGTAAGAGATCAATCTATATACACAATTACAAAAGGTTTGTGTCTTTACCTTATATGTGTAAAATAGTTTTTAATAGTTCAGAAACTGTTAATGAAACTATTCACCTCTTCTCCTCCTATATTAATATCTGGATACTTTTACCAATATGGTTTAAATTCATTGTATTAAAATATACATACACATATATGCACACACAAACTCAATCACACACACACACACACACACACACACACACACACACACACGCGCGCAGACACACACAGAGAGAGACTCATCATAACTTAGTCTTTTAGAAATACATTGACACAGTGAAAACAGTACCAAATATTCTTGTATTAGATTTTACCAGGTAGAAATTCCTCTGCAACATGCAAATTAGAACAAAATTACCTTCCCTGAAAATAGGGAATTAGTGTGGATTACATTTCACTCCTTTCCTTGCAATTCACAAGAGTTTATTATACTTGGATTGAACACAGACAGAACTTTACAGTCAATTTACCTTTTACCATATGAAATGGAGATATTTTAAAAGTCAAGCTTTTCCTTCAAGCATGTTTATGTTGGAAGTTGAATAATCACAGAAAATATTCCTGGAATGAATTTTTAAAGCACTAACATCCATTATGAGTAGTAAATTTGTATAGGTTTAGAGATAACTCTAAACACTGATTATTTTAAACTGTTTATGTGAAAGTGAAATCATATCCTTGGAAAGAAGGAAATTCAGGTTGGTATAAGAAACTATAAACAATTGGATTAAAGGGATCACTGCAGGATAAACATATTGAAACATAACTTGTAACAATGACATAATAACTTCTTTGCTAATGAAAGGTGACAGGCCATCTGTAGGTCTTCCTATGGAATACCCATCTCTACTGAAATATAAAGGTGCTCTCAGTTACCTCAAAAGAACAATTTAGAACAGCCCAGAATATACCAAGGAACTGGTATGTCATAATATTAAAAAAACTGTGTTAGTGATTATGGGTCCATTCTAGCTTACATTGACTATTACACACTATTTATAGCATGTGCCTATACTGTACTGTAAAATACACATTGCTATACTTTTCTACAACACATCAATGAGAACAATAGAGGGTATATTTGTTATACTAGTCAGTATGATATACTATTATTATTAGTTGGATATTAAAAGGGGGAGGGAAAGCAGAGGGAGGAGACATGAGAGATAGAGATAGAAGATAGATAGATAGATAGATAGATAGATAGATAGATAAATAGATAGATAGATAGATAGATAGATAGATAGATAGATAGATAGACAGACAGAGGGTTGCATTTAAGACTTTGTGGTATGCAATGGCAGATGTGTGTTAGCATACTGGAACATCCTATTAATTTAATGCTTTTATGTGAATATAAACAAAAGTAAATAATTCCTTGATAAGTTAGCTAATTTTTCCTGAGGAAATAGACACAAATGTATAAGTAAGACATGAAGTAAAATATATAGACATTTAAAATAAGTTCATAATATAATATATCATTGAGTTATTTAGAAAAGATTAAAATAATGGAAGAAAAAGTTGGTTCCTATGCAATGAATACACCTACAAATATATTACAATATGACTCCCAAACTTTTAAGGTATGATGTGTTAGATTAAAGGGAAACAAAATAAATTTTTGCTAAATTTTATTTATGTTTTATATTATTCTGTGTGGCTGATAAATATTTATATAAGCAGTCACTCATTAAATCAACATCACAATATCTTCACAGTTTCTTTCTTCATTCTGCCCCATACATAACATAATATTTATGAGCCCAGTAAATATTTAGATGGGAATATAGTATTGTTAAACACTGACTCATGGTATAAGTGGATTCTAAGTCACACATATTTTGCTAATATAAATGGTATTATTTCATACACCAACACTGTCATTCCATTTTCCTTCTGTATTTCCGAATATTTCTTAAAATGCATGCAGTATTTCACTTGCTGTATTTGTGTTTGTTCTACACAATTATACATACAAGATTGCTAGTCAATGATAGTGGAAAGCTATAATTATAAATATTTTTATTTCTAATGTCTGAGGCACCAAATTCTGTCACATGCTTAGAGATAAAGGGAAGAAATAGGTTGAAATATTTTTTCATTGCACCAAATATTTTCCATATATTAGGATTCTGATGGTATCGTTTGTTAAATCAGATATGTATTAACCACACAAAGTGACATTAGCTATTCCTAAATCATTGAAGTTTGTGCCAGCTAAGATACTTGACCCATATAACAAGTCTATCATTGTGATGCAGCAACACATAAGAGATAATACTCTAAAACTGACTTCTATTTTCCAGGGAACAAATATTGCATAGGGAACTAAAGGGTGACTTAATGAAGGGATGACATACAACTAATAAACAACATCACAAGACTGGGAAATAGTTTTTTACCAGCTTGTTATCTGCATCTATCATATCAAATCAGTGTGAATAGGAACATTCAGGTGTGTATATGTTAATGGCAAGCATAACTCATTTTTGTCCCATCCATATCTGATCAGGAAACTACAGGAGCATGTATTAAACAACAGTGAGGATTATCCAAAATGTGAAGTGATACTAGAAGTTACCAGAAATTCATTATTTTGAGATTTTTAAAATCTTCCTTGTCTATTTCCATCTATTTATTTGCAAAGCTCATGATTTCAGTTTTCACTACATCTGAATGGTATTTAAAGTGTGTCAGGGTCACATTTTTGGTATCTATTTATTGGTTTTAGGATATCTAGGTTGTTTCTGTTTCCCAACTATTCCTAACAGATCAGTAATAAACATGACCATCTAAACATGAGTGGAACAAGAGTGACACCAAGGAATATACCAGATTTCATGGGGGGGGGCAAAGGATATACTTAGAAACATTTGTAACATGTTTTCTAAACAAAAAATACTTTGTTTAAAGATGTTACAATACACACACACACACACACACACACACAGAGAGAGAGAGAGACACACACACACACACACACACAATTTGTTTATAAGTCAATATATTTTGAAAATTAGTTGATTGTTACCTCAGTGGCTGCCAATATCATATTTCAGATAAATGCAGGGGAAAAATATAATGTTCTACCTCCACTATAGGCTAAGCCTAGGATTGGATGCTGTTTCAGCTGGTAAGAGTCATAGCTGATTAGTGACTTATGTAAGACTAGAAGTAAAGCACAAACGTAATTGCATGGTGATATTTCCCTGCTAGACAACAGGAAAATCAAGCAAGAGCTACTTATTTGTGAACTGTGAAATCAGTAATTTGATATAGATATGAGCAATATATAGTACATAGTAATTTTCAAATAAGAAAAACAAAAAGTGTATCAGCTATAGTCATAAATTAATAAATGAACAAGGGAAATAGCTGAGACTTGTAGAGAAAACTGTAAAGTGGGAGCACATTTGTTGAGTTTGAAGTGAGTCCCAATAGGAGAAATATCACGAAGTTCCCAATTTTCCTGATTAAGCTAATACCTCTGCAAAGTTAAAGAAGCAATATTAACTCATCTATTTGTGACAGCATACCAAAATATATTAATAAATTATCCATAGTGGATTCACTGATTTTTTTTCGGCACTTTTATTGTAAGGTACCATGTTGTTATTATTACAGAACTGAGAATACTCTGCACTGTGATCTGTTCTGCTTTGTCTTCTCAGAGTAGTTCCATCACTATAATCACACACTTCAAAAGTGTTAAGGTAGAGTTGGAGATCTCACAAGGGAAGTATATAGCACATATCCTCACTCTTTCTTACTTTTATTACAGAATATTCTAAACTGCAAACTTACAAACTTTTAATTTCTTATTACTACTATAACTACCATAACTACTATAACTTATAAAATAATGAGAAATTAAGTCACCTTTTCAAGTCACAACAGAATTATCCATTACTAAAAGGAATAATCTGTATTATTTTAACTTTTGGGAAGTAGACATTTCATTTACTTTAACGGCACAACTTGAAATACAAACTTCCATTTTTCAATTGTGTATTTTCAAAGCACAAGTTACAAACAAACTTAATAGAATTTTGAACTCATGTAATTGGTTTTGTAAGTACTTATGTCACTTAGATGTTTTGTAATATCTCATTCATACCTATTTATGGGAAATATGAATGAATAAAAATAAGGATACATTTCAGAATATTTACCTTCCACACAAGTATGTCAGAAACTGTCTTACCAAGAAGGGGTAAAATTAAATCTTCTCCTAGAATATGATTTTAGTGACTCAATTTAGCTATTCTATTCTTATTAAAGTAACTGGCTTAAATAACAGGATATAGTACAATGGAAAGTAGCTGGAGAGACATAAGAAAACTGTGGTGATATCTTATCTGTACTCTAAAAAATAAAGATTGCCTGAAGATGAGAGTGTGAACTAACTGCTAGTTAGCCATTAAAGCCAGTCGGTGATGGCACACACCTTTAACCTCACCATCTGGGAGCAGGAAACAGAAACAATAAGACTGGGTGGAGAGAGGAAGTGACAAGGCAGGGCAGAGACAGGAGCTTGCTTTCTTTTCAGCTAGTAATTTAGAGATTAGTACACAGTAAGGTGTGGCTGTGGCTTGTTCCTTTGTCTCTATGATCACTCAGCATTTACTCCTCTATCTGACTCTGGGATTTTATTATTAAGGCCAATTAGAACTTGCGCAACACAAAACAGTGAGTTTGATACCTAGAGCTTTAAAACAAAATCTTACTCTCTGGGAAAAAAAAAATGTCAGAGCTATAGTAAAGTTATTAAGTAAAATAACTGGCTATGGTTGCCCAGCCCCATTGCAAGAAGAGTACAAAAAGGATGAAGAATGAGGAGTAAGCCATAAAGGTATGTGAGATATCAGAGTTGATGACTCAGTGTATAGTGAAATAAATAACTCACTTTGAACTCCATGGGAGCGTACTATTTTCCAGGTTTCTGATGCCACTTCTTTGACATCCACTTGATAGTGATGAATAGGCACTCCTCCATGGGATTCGGGTTTGTTGAACAAGATCTTGGCTGTGGTCTGAGACAGGTCTGTAATCGTCACTCCATGGGGACTAGAGGGCACATCTACAAAGGAAACAAGCTGGACAATGTGGATGGCTGGCAATAACACTCACTGTGCTGCAAGCACTCGACATGAGGTGCTGAGGGGAATCATATTGATAGTGCTCTAGAATGTGTTCCCCGGTCATTCAGAAAAATGTCTTAAATTCAACTTTCACAACATAAAGCATGCCACATGCACTGCTAGTGTGAAGAAATGGAAGACAACTGATGTTCTTTGGCTATGGAGGAGTTTTTGACAACTGTATGTGTGTGAATAACATTTTTTTTTTAATTTTCTTCAAGTTGCTTTTTCTCTCTGGAGTCTTCCATTGTTTCTGAGGTGTTTCAGGAATTTTTCTTTCTGTGAAGCATTTTTATTGGTATGTTGATTGAGATTATAATCTATATAACTTCAGGTGGATTGAATCTTTAATAATGAGAATTCTTCCACCTCCAGAATAAAGGATATACATTTGTTTATTCATTCCACAATCAATTCTATTTTATGGGTGAAAGTGTGTGTGTGTGTGTGTGTGTGTGTGTGTGTGTGTGTGTAGATATTCCCTTTCTTCCCCTGGTTCATTATTTACTACATATGTTTATTTCTTTTTCTTTACCTATTTGGGGATTGCTTTCTTGATTATTTTTAATGGATTTTGATAGTACTAGTACATAGTAGTATTATTTACTAATATGTATATTGATTCTGTATCCTTTACACCTTTAAACCATTTGTTTATCAGCTTGTCTAAGAGTAGTTAGGGTTTATATATAAAATTATGCAAACAAAGACAAGTTAGAAGTGAGCTATTACTCTCCTACATAATTCTTTTGGTTAGGATTTCAAATACTATGTTGAATAAAACTGGTAAGGAAAACCATTCATTCTTTTATTATTCTTCTGTGGATGAAAGTCTTTCACACCAACTTCCATCTGATGCGAAATTAACTCTCTTTGATAGAAGAACAATGTGGCCTTTCTTATGCAGAGATAAACCAGAGGCGGACACTTTATTATCTGACATCAGTTTGTGTTCCAAAATTGTTATCACTGAAACAATATGGTCCTATATTTTCCCGATGCAGCATACTCTTTTGCTTCTTGACTTGAAATTTGGTTACGTTTTTCCTAAATTCTGCCACTGTGAGTCAGGTTTTTCTCTTTCAGGTTCTAACAACAATATGGTAATGACATGACATCAGAAGACACTGATGTTTAAAAACTCTGTTTAACCTAACCTTAGATCCTGTCTTTCAATATTTAAATCTTGTTTCCTATTTTAAGTTTGTCTCATTTACCACATGGTTTGAAAAGTCCAAGTCTTCATTGCCCAGATTCCTTTTAGCATTTTAGAGGAAAACTGGGTGCCCATAGCTTTGGTTTTCAGAAGTGGTGAATCTCCTTATCATTTTTTAGGAGGGGCACTTGGGCAAAAGCATCTACACATATAAAGGAGGGGAGCCACTGGGGTCTAATCTCAGTAATCTAATCTCAGTCTAAGATATGGCTGTAACAAAAGTACTGTGGGTGTTTACAAGCAAAGTTTCCTCATCTCCTGTTAATAGTTGTAAAATTGAACCCTGGGTCTCATTGAAGCTGTTTTGCTAGCTACAAGCTAGGCGATGATTTCTGTATTTGCTTTCATTTGATGTTTTTACACAAGTATTTATAGTCAATTTGGTTTTTTTTTTTTTTTTTTGTGATAACAGATGCAACTCCCTTATCTGTCTGCCTGAAGTCCTAAGTGCTACCTGGGTTTTGACAAAAAGAATTGAAACAGGAAGACACACAACATCAGTAAGTGGCATTGACTGTGTCATTTTAAGAACTATGCCGAGGTGGATTTCATCTGGTTCTTTTGAATGGCTTTTTAAATTTCTAATAAGGTATACACTGTTACGATAAATCTCTCTGGCAAAAGCTGCTGAACCTCACCACCACGTGTGAGCTTTACGCTAGCCGCCTGTCCGAGTTAGGCCCAAATAAATACACTGAAACTTGTATTAGGTTCAATGCTGTTTGGCCAATGACTAGGATTCCTCATCTGTTAGCTCAGTCTCAATTATCATAAATCTATATATTTTATCTTATCGGACACCTTATTGGCGTCCCTCATTGCCGGTTACTCACATCCTGCTGCTGGAGGAGACAAATGAGAAAAAGAGACCCTTCCTTTTTCTCCTTGCTATGTCACTTCCTGCCTGGATCACCACTTCTCTACTACATTTCCCAGAATCCTCTTTGACTCCTAGTTCAGTCTAATTTGCTGTCTCATTGGCCAAACAGTATTTTATTTAACAATCAATAAGATAAACATACACAGTAGTACATTCCCCATCAATACATGATTTGTCTTTTCTTTTGGCAGATGAACTAATATGAATACTCTTAATATTTTAATGTTGAAACATAACTGTCAGTGTTAAAATATTAACAAGTGGGGCCTTTTGAAATATGGGCAGAACTCTGGTGTATGTGACTAGGAGCTGTAGGTACCACAATTGCTCTTCATACCACATAAAAGTTTATTAGGGAAATGTTTGGAAGGCAGGTGCCCTCACCAGACACTGTCAGTTCTAAGGTACTTTTTAAAACAGAAAAATAAATATGTTAAGGAAATATTTTTATCAAACTCCTCCCTTCAGGGTTCAGTGATTTATCCAGAAGAGGAGTAAAAAAATGTAAGAGCAAGAATTGATGGAAGACTCCTAGGAAGCAGTGTCTTCCAGACACAACAGGGCTGATGTATATATGAACTCATACAGAGAGTTGCAACGTGCATGAGACTTACACAGGTACGAGCCAGGCAGATTCCTACACTGAGAGGTGGAAGTAGAATGTGCTCCCATCTCTAAATAAGAAGCTATCTGAAATTTATATACACAGACAAAAAAAGAACTGCTTTTCCTTAGTGGCATTTTACTGGGTATATTAACTGTACTTTATGGTCAACTCCATGCCTAAGGGTTGCTGGTCAATGCAAAATGAACTCCATGGTATTTTGTAGTGCATTTGTCTGAATTGGTTGGTTTTGTTTTTGTATTATTTGTCTTTTGATTAGATATTTTGGTTTTCATTTTTTTGTTTGCGGGTATGGATGTGTGCTTCTTGGTTTGTGTTTGGTTGGTTTTTTTTTTTTTTTTAAGAAATTGAGAGAGAAAAGAACATAAAATTGGGTAAGTAGGGAGGTGGGTTTGATTTAGGATGAATTGGGATAAGAAAACATTATCACATAGATTATCTGAAAATATGTTTTCAATAAAAAAGAAAAAAATGCATTAGATTAGAAAGGTTTTAAAGTTAATGTAAGTGATAAAACATCTAAGTCCTTGTAAATTGTTTTAAATTTTAATATTCTCCTGGTTTCTAACAACATCAAAATCAAATACTTACTACATTGATATATTGATAGGATTTGATTATTTATGTTAATAATATATCCTTAGAAGTGGTTATACAAACTGCATAAACATTTCCAATTTTGTTTATGTACTTTTAAGTCCAATGACTCAAATGAGATAGTTTATCGGGCCTATCCCTGATTGCTAACATTTTTCATTGAATTGCTCATTCACTATCAATATTCCAAAGGGAATTATTTTTCTACAGATAGGTACATCATGACATTCTCAGGTCATATGTACACATGTACCTTTCTGATTGGTATCTTCAACTAGTTCCCATTAGACAATAATGTATAACACACCAAACCTTTTGTACACTAGAAGGAAATGCAGCTGTCTGTCTCTATTTATCTATCCACTATCTATCTGTCTATCATCTATCTATCTATCTATCTATCTATCTATCTATCTATCTATCTATCTACCCATCCATCTGCTTATTTTATAGAATAAAGACACCTAGAGAACTTGGAAAGAGCAACTGCCCACGCTTAAGTTATTCTCTTGCGGTTAGTTAAAAATAAATGGGTCATTCTGCATTATGAATAAACACCCCCAATCTTAAATCTTCAATTTGTCTATTTCTAGGACAAAATATACACATATTCAAAGTAAATATGCAACTTGATCTTTCATGATTTTACTGTTCATTTTGACAAACATGGAACATATTTTCGCAGTCCTCCAAAAAACACCTCATTTCAAAGTAGTTCTCACGCTTTCATAGCACAGTACTTTTGTTGCCAATGTGACCTTGACCTGTTTAGTCTTTCCATTGTTACTGGCCACAGTTCTTTCTTATTCAGTACCTGTCTAAAACCTAACATTTATTTGAATCTTTCCTCAAGAACTCCAAACAGAAATTATTTTTTATGCTTCCAAGTTTTTTTATTTCAAGTTCTACTGTAATCCATAGGTATTGAACTCTAATTTAGGTAATGACAGGGTGCATTTCTTATGCAACTTTTCATTCCTGAGATCCAGAAGTGTATACTGCACCTACAGGAAACTCTACACATATTTGTTGAGTGAGTGATAAACTAGTCATTAGGACTTAGTATAAAAAAATAATAAGCTGTGATTTTCTTACAGAATGATCATGAAAACAAAGGATTTATTATTATTTAGTGAAAATCTCTTTTTTCCTCCATGAATTCTCTTAACAAATATCAATGTGCACATCTTTCCAAGGTATTTCATTGAGAGAAACTTAGATTTATAATCAGATGATGAAACTGTGTCTTTTAAATGAACTAACTTTATGACGCTTATGGTACAAGACCATCTGATCCTATAAAGCACTGAACTGACGATTATACTGTCTACAAAATTCTATTCAATTGACATAGATTAACCTCTAATCAGGTCTCTGTTCTCCAAAGTGACTTCTAGAATTTTATCTGTGACAGTAGATGAACATATAGGAGGCAGCTTTATGATATTTGTGAATTAAATCATCTTGGAAAGAAAAATGAAATATTGAATTTGATTGGGTCTCTGTAGGTTAAAGAGATGAGTCAAATATGACAACTTGAACTTTAAAAGTGGGAAGCACAGGACCTGAAGTAAGGTTATGAGAACCATTTTAGCAGTGCCAGTATCAAAGATTTCACTTACATAGCAATAGAAAAAAAAAACTACTAGAAAGAAAAAAATGAAAAATGTTACATATAAAAAAATAATATCTAAAATAAAGTCATTTTCTATCCACCATACACTTACTTGTGATATCAAATCAGTGTATTTTAGCTAAAAATTCATTGACACAGTATTATCCACTGAAAAGAAATGTATCTGTATGAACTATGGTAAACTATAATAGTAGCTATCTCCTACCTTTGAGTACTTGCTTTGTTCTTGGTGCTTTGAAAGCACAAACTCAGATTGTCTTATGTCAGTCCACTTAGATTGACTTGTGAACATGTTCTGTGACACACAGAAGGGAAACCTTCAGCCCTGAGTTGAGGTGCACATTGCTTAGCTGCTGAATGTTATTTGATTAAACTTTCTTAATACCACTACCTCAAATTGTCCAAGTGAATCCAAAAGAAAGAACTGGTAATTTTAAAGGAATGTAATAATTATTATCCTGATTGCAACATTACATACATTATATATTAATAAAATATTGTATTGCCACATATAATAATGCATACTTTTCCTGCATGCAGAAAAGATAAAAATAAATAAACACTGTTATAAAAAATTTGATTCATTATGTCCACAGTTAAAGCAAACAAATGATGTTTGCAGGTGAGACCACCTCTGGGAAACCCTTTGAACCAATTTGCATTTGCTCATGCTCATTGTTAAGCCATAGTGTAGACTGAAATATAAATAATCTTTATGTGCATACAAACATTTCTAAAGTTATATTGTTTCACAGTCCTTGAATATCCATTCTGTTTGACAAATTGATGAAATTAATCTATGAATTTTGCTAAATTATGATTATAATTACATGATTTAATTAAGCTGAAAATACCTGTCATAATATAATCAATCAAGCTATTCTTCTATAGCAGAGAAAGTGGCAAAATGCATCCTAAACTATGAACTGTCCAATTCCTGAATGTATAGGGTTGGTATCATATGCCTTATCTTCATAATAATATGAAATCAAAATGCCAATACATATCGAATCATCATGTGTGGAACAATACTTGGCTATTTTTTAAAGGTATTTGAGTGTTTTTTCTAAATAGTCATATTTCTGAATAAAATGTTTGCCTTCAATTCAGGAGACGCTATTCATCAATCAGTGACTATTTGCAAAATGCCATTTGTTACTTATTTTTGAGCCACAAACAGTTCTTTGTTTTGTCAGTAATATTGCCTAAGATGATAATTATTTTGTCCCATATAACTATTATGTGTATTTGTTAATATGCCTTAGCTTATTCCAAAGTTTATTTTTCTTTAAAAATTATTTAATTTTATAGGACATTAATGGACAAAGTATGCACCAGCATTTTTTTTAAGCCGTAAAGGTATTTTGACTTAACAAGAACTTTGGCTTCTTCTCACTCCACTGGAATCATGTTCCTAAGGATCATGTTTGATTAGCTTCCTCTCAAGTTGGGGGAAGAAATATCACAGAGATTTCTTTGTGCTCTTTGGAATGCCTCTCATAGGATCAAGATGATTTTCCCATTACTGGTGGTATTGATATTGATCAGTTGATTAATGGGGTATAGGATAGGTTTGCGAATTCTGAAGAATTTGATATGATATCAAATAAAAAATAGTTTAAGTTATCTCACTGAATTTCACACACCTTCTGTAGAAGCAATTCATGTCTCAGATGAAATATGTTAGATTTTTTAAAAACTGACATATTTATGAGTAATTTTATGTATGTATATTTTAAAAGGTTGTTTAACATTATTTTATATATAATTTTATTTAAAATACATGTTTTCTACTTTAAGAATCTCACACATGAGAAGGAGGTAAATTTTAAATTAAGCTTTAAATATTAAATAGAATACAAGTGTTCACTATTCACTATGTCAATTGATTTTGTTCTATTTTGTAACCCTTGGCTCATGACTTTAAAGAATGTTTTTTATTATGATTTAAAAATCTATTTGTTTTTGATTTATTGTAAAATTAGTTGATACAATTTTATTAACTTAAAATACCATTTGACTATAAAATTATTTTATGAATGCCAGATATTACTGTCCTATACTCACCTGCTAACTCAAGAATATACTCCTGAAACCTTGTGCCTATACGGTTAGTAGCAGTGCAGTTATATCGTCCAAAGTCATTGTCCGATGTAGGGGCAATCTGAAATAAACACAATAACAAAAATGAAAGTGCTAAAACACCAAGGATATTTTAAAAGGCTGAAGCACATGTTACTTGCACATTTTTTTTCCGTTATTTTACATATGACTCCTCATAGAAATAATTTCTTTTTCCAGCAACCAATATTAAAGCTATCATGTCTTTTATTTTTATATATTTTAAATTCTTTTATTTTTTGAGATTTTAATTTCATTGCATCATTTTCCCATTACCTTTCCCCTTTCCATACCCCTAACCATACACCCACCTTGTTCTCTTTCAAATCATGGCCTCTTTACCATTGATTTTACTTTCACACTTATAAAAACATATATATATATATATATATATATATTCCTAACTACATAAATACCACCACTCAGTCTGTGTAATGCTAACATTTTTAAAGAGAAAACCCACAAAACTAGACATTCAAAGTTGAAGTGATTCATGCTTTACCTATCAATTCATTAATTGGATCAATATCTTCATTTTGACACATCTATTCAATTACAAAATTATCTTCTGATGAGCAAAGCAAATGGCAATTTTTAAGGAAATATATCTTGCAGTCAGTGCAAATTCAAAACAACTGTAAATCTTAAGATAAAATGTTTCTACTGAAAGAAGTTCCTACATTGTTTTCATGTTTTGTTTGCTTGCTTGTTTGTTTTGGGAATGGTCTCATTGCATATATCATACTGATCTGGAATTGACTAGTAGCTGAGCCTGGATTTGAACTCTTAGTCATTCCCCTGATTCTGCCTCTGAAAAGTTGAGAACATGAATAAGTCACTATGCCTAGTCATGCATTAAAACCTGGAAGTTTTAACTTTTTCATGAATGATATTTTGCAAGAAAATGGTGACCTATAAAAATGCTATAAATATGATTTTTAAATCTGTAGTAATTAACTTGGTTCCATTTTTGTTTAGGTGAAAAAGACATGACCTCAGTTTTATACATTAAAATCAGAAATTAAGTTTACCATCAGGGATTCCACTGGTGAAAGGTGTGGTCAACTCTGTGATTCTACTTTGCAGAAAGACTTTAAGTGTAATTCCTCCCAAGATATTTGATGATGCTAATAAATATAATTTTCAATTCCAGTAACTATTTAAAGAGAGACTGAGCTAACACAAATTGCCCATTAATTTCAACCCTATCTTTAAGGAGAGAAGAAATGGTTTGATGGTAATAGGAGACTATTAACTAAGAGAACAATTTTGAGGTCTATTGAAGATGATTATTGTGAACCTTTAAAGAGAGTATAAAAAAACCTGTATCATTCATTTTCTAGTAAGTTGTCCAACTAAGAAAAGTCCATAAAATTAACAGCATGATGCTCAGAGTTAACTCTTTCGTAAGTTCCCTGAAATGATCTTCATATGTGGATTTATTAAAATAGGCTATTTTAATTCTATTACAAATATTCCAATATGAAACCTGTTTTTTATTCCTCTGCCATGTGAGAAAGATTTTAGTACATTCTATGAGGAAGCTGGTGTTTATAGAATCATATAACATGGAAGCAAGATAGCCACAGCAAGTACTATGACTACAGTACAGTTTTTCTTAAGATTAATACTTCATAAAAATACACTTACTTTGGAGCCATTTTCAACCGCTCAATTTATGTGCTAGAAAATTGGTTCAATGCTGAATGCAGAACTTAAAAGGAAATAAAAGGTTGAATTCATGGACTCTCCCATTCCAGGAACAAAGTAGCAGAGAAACACAGTCTTTACCTGTTTAACACAAGTAATCCCTTTGTGATGCTATGTTTAACAAATACAGAAATCACTTAACATAGCACAGTTGGAAAGAAATGGAACTATACAAGAACCGAGGAAAAACAAGCAGGGAAGAAAATAAGGACAACATCAAGAAATGAAGAATTAACCAAGCCAACTTGAAGCCTCTTTTCTTAGAAAGAAATGTGGGCTTCTTATCCAGCAATAGTTTTTACAAGAAATCCATGTGGCATTTGGTTTTGATTGACAATATCTCTGTTTTTAGAGTAACCTATGGATTTAGTTCTTGACAGGACTGAAAAGACTCAAACTGAATGTGGACAGCACTATCCTATTGACTGGAAACCAGGATGAAATAAACATGGGAAAAGGAAAACAAACAAACAAACAAACAAAGACCATCCAGTATTCTCTTGCTTTCTGTTTCTCATACAACATAAAGTAAATTGTTCACCACATGGCCCTGCCATTGTAATGGTCCCTACAAGTGTATAGGGTCAAACCACTAGGTAAACACTCTGGAACACTGAATCCAACTAAATCTTTCCTATGTCAAGTTGTTCTTTCTAAAATTTAGTGATACCATTAGAGAAATACTAAACAAAAGAAGAAAACAAAAGAAGAACAAGATTTAAAAACTGCACAAAATATAAGATGAAATAACCCAAGGTATATGATCAGATTTCCAATATAAATTTAAATATTTCTAATATATGCATAATCATTTATATCTCTTCAATAGAGGTTTACTTAGGAACCTAGTCTAGAATTAGCATATTATCAGGCAACTGGAATGTGCAAATGCCAAAGAATAGTAGTTAAAAACAAAGAATCAGTGGAATCATCAACGGTGAAGTTAAACATTTGACTTTTAAAATCCAAAGTATTATTACACTTCACCATCTTTTCTTGCCAACATAATTATTTTATTTCCAAAAAGTAAGTTCATGAAAAATATTTCAAGATGTATGAACAAAGACAGAAAATGGGATACTATAACAACACAAAATTAATTTTTAAAAATAAATATGAAACTTATGTATTTCAAAGTTTTTATAGAAAATTAATTGAATCTATTCTGACATTATCAATAACTGCTAAAAATATTCTTACTGACACATTCATAAAGGCTTACCTCTAGTATCATCTTTCTTCCTACACTGTACGTCTTTAAATGAGTGGTATTTTTAGCTGGTAAGACCAGCTTTTGTCTTCTCCAATGGATTGATGCTGGTGGGTTTGATTTCACATCGCAACTTATGTTGATTGGATTTCCTTCCCAAGAATAATATGTTGTCTGATTTGAAACAAACTTAGGAGCATCTGTAAAACAATTATATAAACATAGGTATTATAATGCAGTCATTTAATTAGTGCACATATTAGTAATTTTTCCTTGCTTTCATAATAGGAGACAGAGAGATGGCTCAGTGGATGAAAATAATCGACAGCCTTCTGGAGGACCTGGACATGATTCCCAGCAGATACAACATAGTTTGTAAACTCTTGACATTTCAGTTGGAGGGAATCTTCCTCTGGCCTCCACAGGCAATGCATGCTTGATGCACGTACACACATCCAGGTAGGTAAAATATTCATACACATAAATTCATAAAATATTTTAAATGAATTCATAATATTTCTAATTTTATAACTTCTTTATGATATTAAGGATTGTGAAAAACATGACATTTGGATGTTTACATAGACATAATACTTCAAATAAGAAAAATAGATGAATTATTAAAATAAGAAAAAAACATTTAGAACTAAATTTAACCTTAATATCCCAACAAAGATTAATTGGCTAGAATTCTAGTATTTCTGGAAGTCTCAATATGATGTGAAATTTAGAATGGGAGATTAGAATATTATTCAAAAAATACAATGATTCATTTATCATTATTTAAGTTTTTTCTAGTTACAGTTTTTCTGCAAATATTGTGCAGCAGGTGAGAAATCTTAGTTTACAGGAAAATGTCTACATTGGTCACACTTTTTTCTCCCAGTCCTACATTGATTTGATGATAATACTATATTAGTAGTTCCTGTAAAAACACAGATTAACAGATATGAAGTACTGTCATGTTTATATATGAGACTGTGTAGTGTTTTTTTCTGTGCTTTGTTTATTATACTTAATATTAGGTGCTATATGTATTTGCTGAAATGAAAGGAATTTATGTATTTACCAGACCTCATTTGTAAGTTAATTGAACAGACTGGTTGCTTCCATCTCCTGGCCTTGTGAATTTTGTTGCCATAGATTGGGATGAACCTTGGGAAATGAATTTTTCATATTGGTTTCACTTTCTATATTATACATACAATAGTGAGATTGCTATATCATATTTTTCTCCAGTATTAAGGTGTGTGTGTGTGTGTGTGTGTGTGTGTGTGTGTAAACTACTTATTATTGTCCATCATAATCTCTTCTCTTTATGTATCTCCTATCAAAATGATAATTATGTGAGATTTTGATATTTACTTATGCTGAGATGACATTATTGCTTTTTGAGGTTTAGATTTACACATTTTTCTAAGGCTTGGTTTATGGTAAGAATGTGCCTGGTGAAACCCACAGAAACAGCTGACCTGAACATCGGGGAACCTTTGCTCCCCAGACTGATAGCTGGAATACCAGAATAGAACGGATTCAGACCCCAGGAACATGGGTTTCTGTGAGAAAACCTCAGAAATCTACAGGACCTCCTGTAGAAGTTCAGTACTTATCCCTAGCATAGGAAAGATATTGAATGTCCTTCAGCTGATAAATGGATAACAGATTGTCTCCAGATTTGTAGTTTGATCTTCACTCTGTTGTTTCTTTCACTGTGTGTAACATTTTAATTACTGTGATCCCATTTGTTTATTGTCTCATTTATTTTCTACATTGCCTTTAAGACCTCATCTAAGAAAAGTCAGTTACCATTTCATAGTCCCAAAGCATTCTCCATTTTTTATAGATTGTCAGTTTCAGTTCCTTCATTTATGTTTTTAATCATTTTTGAACAAGTTATTAAATTTGTTCTTTGACAGTTTCATACAAAGATATAATGCATCCTGCACACTATCATCTCCACAGCTCTCCACCATCTGACTACCCCAGTCTCCTTTTGTCTTCAGGAAAGATTTCTTTCTCACATTCATGGCTATTCATTTTGCTTTGAGACCCATGGAGTATAATGAGGATCATTTGTGAAATAAAGAGTATGAAGCCATCTGTTGGAACCTGAGGGGCTCAGTAGTGAATTCAGAACCGAAGACAACTATTCTCCCTCACTCAGAACCCATCAGCAGCCAATATACCAGCAATAAGAGGTAGGGGTCCTTGAACACCTCATCTGATCATCACTGATTTTGGACAGGACTAGCTTTGTGCAGACCAACTACAAGTGCTCAGTCTAATGTGTTCCTGATGGCAGAAGCCTTTTCAAATCTAGATATTTTTATTCTGTGGCAAATGTACATAGCAATTTCACAGAATTGTTCTGCATGTGCATATTGCTTTCCAATACAATTTGTTATAAACATCATCATTTTTCCAGTAATCAAATTACTGATGTTTGGTTTGATGTTTAGGCTCTTTATTATAATACACCCACAAACATATCCACATATATATGCATATATTTTTTTCATTACAATCAAGCTGTATTAATAGAGTATTGTAATATGTTGTGCACTGCTCAGAATTGTTAAGATCAACAATAATACTAATAATATATACTGGGGAGGAAGGGAGAAAGAGGAACTCATAATATTAGTGTGACTGAAACCTGGTTCAGCCAATCTGAATATCAGTGTGGAAAACTCAGGAAAAGCTACAGGTAAATCTCCCATATGACACAAATGTATCACTCCTATCACTCCTTGGCATATTCTCAAAGAAGGCAAAACCCTACACAATAGATACTGAGCCATGCTACATTGCTAATGGATTCACAATATCTAGGAAATGGGAAGAAATTGAATGTCCTTCAGCTGATAAATGGATAACAGAAATACCATAGCTCCACATCTTAATGTGAGTAAATAACCTAAAGTAATTATAGAAATCAGAAAAGGAAAAGGATATTGCGGTGGATGGATTGAGAAGGGAATAGCAGGACATAAGTGATATGAACAATGAAGAGGAGAAAAGGGGTGTGGGGGTTAATTTGGGAGAGGAAGGAAGTGAATACTGAAAGTGGAGACAGGAGAAAGATGACACTAATGACATCTAAATAAAAGACATGATCAATCATATTTTATTTTTATTAAATAATGTATAATACATATATACGCACTGTGTGTGTGTGTGTGTGTGTGTGTGTGTGTGTGTGTGTGTGTGTGTGTGTTCGTGTGTGTGTGTGTGCAATTGAGGGCATTCACATGTTCATGCAAAGTTTAAATAAAGTATCCCACTTGAATTGACAGTGTTCACCACCAAGAGTCATAGACCATTTAATGTTTTCTATTACGCTTCAGAAATCATATTTCAATCAGTGTATTGAACACAGACTACAAGAAATTATCGTGATAATATGCTAAGTATCTAGTCACTTGTTGCCTCTCAGGTATTGAAGATAAATCTCTTGTGCTGAAGATGCCTTCCTCTTCACATACAGGACATGAAAACTCTGAGCTGGCTCAGACAAGGAAACTTCCTTTCTGGGCACTAAGTTTCAAACAAAAGTAAGAACTATGCAAGCATACAAGGGAAGAAAGCAAACAGTATTCCTACTCAGTTGTAATGCCAATGAACTACAACAATGATCAGCATAGCCAGGTAACCCTAGGTACAGCAATGACACTCATACTTCTGTGGTAACCAGCATCTGTTTGTTGGACTTAAGGCTGCCTCCTCAGCTGGAGGGAAATCATGTTATCTGGTACTGGAAACATAGCCAACCAAACAAGCATAATGAGGCCATAGATTTAAAGAACCTCTTATCACTCCTTTACTGAGCCCGTACTATTCATAACTGCATGCTAAAACTTTACCCTTATAACCAAAAGTAAATGTTGTTGTGGAATAGAATTTTGTTTAAGTAAAGATGTATTACATTAGTTTGAGTTTCAGAACAGTTATTTATTTATGTAATGATGTGTTACATTTGTTTAACTATGTAAAAATATGTTGTTGCTTTTGTTTAACTTTGTCTTTCTAAGGTACATGATTGCTCTAATAAAAAGCTGAACAGTGAATGGCTAGGTATTAAAGGAATGGGTGGGAGTGGCAGGCAAAGAGAGTAGTAGGAGGAAGAATTTAGGCTTGAGAGAGAAGTAGGGGGGAAAAAAGGAAACACGGGTCCAGTCAGACAGGCAGTCGCCAGACAGCCAGACGTGGAGGAAGCAGTAAAGTCAGAATAGAATAAAACAAAGGTTACAAAGTCCCAAGGCAAAATGCAGATGAAGAGATACAGGTTATAAGAGATAGTGGGACAAGTCTAAACTGATGCCGAGCATCCAAAACTATGACAAGTATCCATGTCATAGTTTGGGGGCTGGTGGTCCAAGAAAGTCTGCTCTAGTCGGTGCCTAACATGGGTCCAGAATTTCCACATAGGGCCTAAGAAAGCTGGAAAAAATGTTGTGGTTACTTTAATAGGCTCTGCCGTACCTGAGCACTTGAGCATCCAGCTAGTTTAATAACAACAGTTGAGCTAAGTCAAAGCACCTGTCACCATGCAGGAATCAACTGCCTAGAGCTGGGATGGTTGAGCACAGCTCCTGGTCAGATACAGCTCTCAGCCAGGTCCACAGGCTGAACCCAAGAAGGAGGCGGAGCCAGCGGTCAGAGCTGCAGCAGAGGGCCTTGCTGCTGCTAAGCAGTTTAAGGTTTGACTCATCCCTTCAGAAAAAGGCTAGAGATGCAGTAAAAATAGTCCAGATGGAAAAAACCCAAACAGGTTACAGGGTGTTTAAAATGCCCATAGGCTTAAGAAAGAAAAGCAACTGAGTATAGATAGTCATAGGAAAAAATTAATAGATTAAAAATAAAAGAGTCTTTAAAGAGAAAGTAAATTAATATAAAGGAAAAAAGCCACTTGAAAACAGGAAATACACAAGGTGTCTGGAACCTGTGTGGTGGTGTGTTGACTTTGAATTTTTTTGAAATCTGATGGGTGAACAACAGCTGCTGAGAGACATTGGATAGTAAAAGGGACTGCTTAATCAAACCATCCCTGATACTTTAGAGATGTCTTAAATTTAAAATAGAAATGAAACCCCGTGGATTCGTTCAGGGTTAATTGAGGTCAGGTTTGATCAGAGGAGACCTGAAAATCTTAGCTACAGACATAAGGAAGCATTCATAACTTATAACAAGTCTCCATGTC